TGATATTTTAGTAACTACTGAAGATTATTCACTCAAAATTGATATTTACAACAATTTTTAGACGAAAAATAAGAATATAATAAATTTTTTAAAAATGGGCGTAGCTAATTTATTCAAAATTGATGCTTGCAACAATTCTTTACCAAGATATACGTTTATGGTAAAATTTTGGAAAATTGGCGTGGCACCGCCCACTTATGGTGACATATATGTATATCGGTAACATTTCAACCAAATTGTACCAAACTCGGTATTTTTATTGTGCTTGCCAAATAAAAGCAAAACGTTGAAAATTATTGAAATCGGACTAAAATTACGGCCGCTTTTTATATAACGGTAAATTTCAGAAATGCTTGAAACTTCAATAATTCGAAATTTAAGGACGCTAATTTACTCAAAATTGATACACCCCGGCTTACCATCTAGCGGTAGCTTTCGGAAAGGTGAAAAAACATATATTTAATACTTGCGCCGGGTATTTAATGTTCGGCTCCGCCCGAACTTAGACTTTCTTACTTGTTATTTTATGGCCTCCTAAAATAAATGTCTGAGCGAAATTAAAGGTCAAGACTTATACATATGTATAGCAAAATTTCATGGGAAATATTTTTGTAGATCATTTTACCCATTAGCTCCAGCCTGAAAGAGTCGTTTTGACCCTTACTTAAAGAAACCCCGCAGAAAGCAAATTTGGAAATTCGTTAGAGGATTGATAGATTCTAGAAAATTATTTTTCGGAAAACTACTAGGGTTCTTCTCAGGAAAAAACTTCATTCCTCCAACGTAAAAGTCTCTATCAAATTAAAATAAAAAATCTATGGCCAAAAGGAATAATAGCAAAAAAAAGTTGGATTTTATCTACAAAATTGTTTTTGACGTAGAATACGTCTTGCGTTTCGATATGGAGGCTATGTACAAATCGTCGCCTCAGAAAACGGATGACGAATGTGCAAAATCACGATTTTGGGATTTTGATGCAAATTTACTAAGTTGGACCTGCTCTTTTGATTTCTGCAATCCATTTTTTTATACCCGAGCGCACTTGTGCACAAGGGTATTATAACTTTGTTCACATAACGGTTGTTTGTAACAGGCAAAACGAATCGAGATAGATATAGACAAATGTATACATAAATGATCAGGATGAAAAGAGAAATCGATTAAGCGGTGACTGTCTGTCCGTCCGTCCGTCCGTCTGTCCGTCCGTCTGTGCACACGATAACTCGAGTAAAAATTAAGATATCTTAACGGAACTTGGTACGTGTACACTTCTTTCGGGCGTAGGACGGATGGTATTGAAAATGGGCAAAATNGTATGTTACATAATATTAATGATTGGGTATGCCTTTTGTTGTATGCGCTGAAATTGCGTCGCATACGACAAATTCCCATACAAATGTAATCTTTTTTTAATCATAAAACATTTGTCGTATGTATCGCAAAACTTTGAACTTACGACAATTCAATGGTCCTCTACTATAACGACACAATTAAAATTGGAAATTAGACTAAGTAACTAATTTTAAAATGTTAAATTTATAAATTTTAGCTTGCACTGAGTTTCCAATGAAATGAAAGAAATAAAAATGTACAAAATACTGAATATAAGTATTGTTTTTTGTTTTTATATAAACAAAACGTATGTTCGTAACATATTTACATCATAAGAGATGTACAGATTTTTTTTTATTAAATACATGAATATGTTTTTGTTATGTTTTTTCTAATAAGTAATCATTGTTTAATAAATATGTCTGGTTTTTTCATCAAATTATACCATCGTCGTTGAAATAGATACTTTAGTATTGTCGTATGTTCTATCTACAAAACAAAGTCGTGAGTAAACGCTACTTACGACAAATGTATACGGAATAAAAAGTCAATTTTCTCATTAACGTTAAGAGATATTAAATGTAAAAATATGGAATATCAAAACTAATAACACCAACTACGTCTCCTTCAAAAATTACAAAAATCTACCGTACAGTTTCGGATTAATTCGACCTTAAACTTCAAAGTCAATTTTCTCAAAACCGTGTTTTGTAACATTCGACATCCGTTTTCTGAGACGACGTCATGTTGTTGTAATTTTTAGAGCTTCACGAGAACGCTTCCTGTGCGAGAACTAATGACGCGGTTTCAAAGAAAAGTGTGGCGTTTCAAAGATGAAATTCCAAACCTATCGACAGATTTCTTTTTGTAAGTAATCAATTCGGTTTCTGTCGTAGAAACAACGGTAAATATTGGCCTATTTCGGGGTAAATTTTGAGCCTTTAAAGTGCTCTAGCAACTTATGATTTGCAGATATAACTAATTAATTTTCGGGATATAGGTTTTTTGGAGCAATAGAACTATTCTCGTGTACGAATTTTATATAAATTCAACAAATATTGAGCATTTTAAGGCAAAAAATTGTTGAAAAAATTAAAAAAATTTTTTTATTACCAAAATACTCGAAAACCGCTCGAATAATTTTGTTTTTGTTTTCGTTAATCAAAAATTCAAGTTTTTCCTTTCGTTTGGTTTATGGGAAGTATTGATTGATATCTTCTAAGTATGTTTATTTTATTCAAATATATGGGCATAAATGATTTTCCATACAAAATAACTTCGTCTTCATTATGCAAACACGTGCATGGGTTGGAAGTAGGGCTGATGATACCAGGATGCCCGGGTAACTAATATGTTGATGCCGGTTAAACGAAAAACACCCGGGTAACGCGACATAAAGCTTCTTGTATAATCTTTTTGGTGAGGATAAATATTTTTTCAGTGAGAAATTTTTTTTTAATAATTTTTTGTTTATGTCTAGAATGTACGCGACTATGTAAACCTATCCGCTGGCCTGAGTAGACGCAGACAAAAAAAGAAATAAATACATTAGTTTCTGTACTTAAATTCAAACTTTTAATTTTCGTAAATGCATGTGCACATATGTATGTATGAATGTATATTTTAAAGAATATTAAATATTAATATTTTAAAACAGGGACCGAGAACAAAATGTATGATCGAAACTAAGGGCCAATTTCAGAGTGCGTAGTTAACTACGAATCGACAGTCATGTAGAGATTTTCAGTACAAAATTCTGTAGTTAACTCCCGATTCTGAGTTAACTACGCATTGTGAAATTGGCCCTAAATGTCGTTCTCGTAGTTCCCAAGAACACGTCAAAACCAAAACCAAAATGAGAACAAAACTGACGAGAACGTTCTCATTGGGAAGTATATAAGAACAAAACCCTGTGGAACGTTCCCAGAGAGAACAAAATGCGAACAATACTTTCGGGAACATTTCTAGGAGAACAAAATGCTAACAAATTTCTCCTGAACGTTTTGGCAAAGAAAAAAACGGGAACAAAATTCTTAGGAACTTTCTCTCGAAGAACAATTTGGGAGCTAAAGTCCCAGGAACTTTCTTACAGGGAACGAAAAAGGAACAAATCTTCTCTGAACTATTTCATAGCGTTCCATGACTTTGAAATCTTTGAAAATTGAAGTTAATCAAAAAAGAACTGAAAGATAGTTATGCAAATAAAGTTAATGAAAGACTTAAGACACGAACTTTTCTTTCACAGAAAATGAAAAATTGTTCCATAAATGGACAGTTTACCATAATGATAAACGATCTGGAAGTTGAAATGATCCAGCTTT